TGTCTTCACCACCTTTACTGTTGTAAAATGATGAGAGATTCAAACAAAAAGTAATCAATAAATAGAACAAAATAAAAAATAAAAAAGACTGCAAGTGACGTCGCTAGCGGAAGTGCAAGTGTCTGAGAGTGCAAGTCTGAGAATGCAAGCGCCAAGCTGCAGCCAGACCCTTCTCAAACATTTAGGAATCTTATCCAAGTTGTAGGCTAGTCAATTTTGGTCAGTCAGTCGTATCTGAGGATCCGCGGATGAAACTGTGACCACAAACACCATTAACTTAAGTGTTTGTGAAATAACTTTTACATTATTTTAAAAGTTGTTGAAAAACTGTTGCTTCAATATGGCAATAATCAGCAATATGCTTTCACACAAATAACCTTATTTTTGAATGTTTCAATATGCGTTGACACAAATGACTTATTTGAATTTTTCATTGATACAACATGGCACTGAGTTGTTAGAAAAGAAATGCGTAGAGACGTTATTGCTTGATGACGTCAGGAGCCGATGAATCGGCTTTTTGAACCGGTTCAATTAACTGATCTGTCTGAAAAGTACCGGTTCGCGGAAATGAATCGGACTTTGCATCACTAACATATACAACACATAGATATGAATTAAAATATGCCGACGCCCGGTTTCACACCGCACGCGTGAACAGAGCGTAGCCCAATTTAACGCCCGTTTCACACCGCACGTGTAAGCAGAGCAGAGGCAGCGTAGAAGCGGCGCGTAAGCAGCGCGTATTTTTTTCGGCGCCCATGTTAACAGATTAGAGCAGGGGTGCCCAAACTCGGTCCTGGAGGGCCGGTGTCCTGCAGAGTTTAGCTCCAACTTGTCTTGTCAACAAATGGAAAAGTCAGCCATCTATTAATTATCATGTTAATTATTGTGCCTTTAGACCTTAAAAGCAGGGGAGCTTTTTACCCCGAATACCATACTTTCACATTATTGTAAAAGTTGTTGAAAAACTGTTGCTTCAATTATCTTAAACAAAACTGGGAATCATTAAGAAGACCTTTTTCTTCGATTATATTCAATAATTTTAGCGATTTTTATTTGCTACTTAAATCTACAACATTTTAAAAACATCAAATATTAGATCAAGTTAGCACAGAATCAACTACACGAAAACACATCCCATGCCAGGAGTTATTGCCCAAACTTCAAAGGCCTGTTTAAATTATTAAAACTAGAGGCATTTATTAACTTTAAGATTATTTTTCATGTAAACTACCTATATACATCATGGTATATGCATGTGTGGGGGGGATATGCTGCCCATATCATAAACCAAAGCACATGACAGACAGTTGTCGGAGAACACCTGAAAAGCGTGACCGAATAAACGATACTCGTCTGTATTTGCAGTACACACCGCGAGACAAACGCTGCCAGTGTGAAAGCACAATGGGCGCGCGCCGCTTCTGCGCTGCCTCTGCTCTGCTTACGCGTGCGGTGTGAAACAGGCGTCAGGCTGAAAGAAATTATGAAAGACGTGAAGTTCCTTACAGCAGCATCGTCTGTCTCAGATCCTTTCTCCAGTGAAGCATTTTATCATAAGATTAGGAAGAGACGATAGAAATAGGGAGGAAGAGAATCCCAATGATGAGCATGATGGCTCAGAGTAAACTGGGTCATTTTTCTGACAAGCCAATATTTAAGGTGTCATCTAATCTGCAGCTTAAAACCAGTCTACGCACCAATCAAAACAGTGTCATTTATTTTTAAAATCCTGATTCATCTAAGTCCAAGCACCAGATCAGAGAAAGTCTAAATTGTGTATTCAGGAGATGTGCTAATTTTGCTTACATTTCATATGCATTTTTTAATCATTATTTCTAATGTATTTGCAATCAACCACATCTCAATTAAAACAAATGACAGAAGATCTCACCTTTATAAACTTCTCAGAAATAAAGACAAAGAAGCCAAAGGTATTGCCAGGTAAAACATTTATAAATTAATAAAAACATTCCCTTTTAGTGTTTGTCTTTGAAGGTTTTATCGTTGATTTAAATCTCCATTCAGTTCCACTTTCCTCCTCCATTTTATATATAGAAAAATATTTTGATAACATTCATCATTTTGCACGAGTTTCCATACAGTCCAGTAGATTACTGAATCGATAAGGTATAAGTCAATTATTGAAGAGGGGTTCTGGATTGTAAATTTAGTTTGTGTTTGTCCCCAAAGGTTTAACCATCTTCACTTACTCAGAAACACAGAAACCAGTTTGCATAGATAACAAGCTGCAGAAGTCCTTGTCAACATCAACATTTCATTCCAAAAAATGGACAGTGAAAGAAAAATAAAGAGAAAACCAAATACAGAAAAATCAACTTAAAAATTGTGCAATGTATACTGATCAAACAGTTTTCAATAACAAGCACACACAATCAATGAGCTCCTGATTGTTAAACATTTTCCAAAATCATACCAAACACTTAAGTATGTATAAAAAGAAAAAAACATGCTATCTGCTCCACATCAGGCATATAATTGCATCATAAAAACAATGGGCATTTCTTGTGCATTGGTATCTTACGACACATCAGTTGTATAGGCCTATTTGATTTCTAACTTAGAAACTGAAAGGAAGTATAATAACCGCTGTCTCCATAGAGATAACCGAACCCTAACATATATGTACCGTTTCTTCATTCAACCTCTTGCTCTTTATCCTTTCCATTTCATCTCTCACCCACAGACATCAGAGCGTGTTTCAAGGAAAGCACAAACTATTTTTTGACACTAACATGGTCTACCATTATCCTTAAATATGGAATTTGCATGCTAAACATTTCATA